CCTCATGAATTAACTCATGAGCATTATTATTAAGTCTTGGAGTTTTGGTACTGTGAGATCATTATTTAATTGAGGTGATCTGGAAAATTTTCTTGAAATAGTGGCTTGTGGTAGATCTTGCAAGTAGAACATGAAAGGAGAAGCAGTTCTTATTTCTTAGTTTATAAGGCGTTTGGACAGGAAGAGAAAGATGTGGGATAGGCAGGCACAAGTGAAGAAGCTAACTTAGAAGACTTGCACAGGGAAGTAGTAAAAGATAGTTAGAAAGTTGGGATTTTACCTTGTGAGTTTGGATTCTATTCTCTAGGCAATATGAAAGCCATCAGATGTTCTGAACATAGGAATAATTTATTCATATGCCTAATTAGGTGTTTATCCCTTACTAGTTATCAGGACTATACAGATCAGTAAGACAGATCCCTGCTGATTAGATCATTTACCTGTATGGCATATAGTCACCTTGAAATTGTGTCTAAATCAAAACCTGTAACACCCTTTAATTTTTCTCCTCCTCTCTCTAATTCCCTTCTCTTGAATTCTCCATCTTGGTTAATGACATTGCTGTCCACCTAATGACCCAAAGATAGTGTCCATGAAATCATATTGCCTGGTTCATATTCTGAAACCTGCAGTTTGCTTGGTCCTGTGCTAGGTAGGCAGTGTCACAGATCCAGAGATGAGTCAGCATAATTCCTGACTTCCAAAGGTTTCTAGTCTGGTGGGGCAGACAGACAGATACAGACTGCTGTAGTTGAGTTTGATCAAAGTTGTGGTAGGGATTGAGAGGAGGTACATATCCAATGTGGAAAACTATGAAAATCCAGAGGAGAATGTATGTGAGTTAAGACTTAAAAGTAGACAAGGATTAGGTGCTACACAGTCTGGTTCCAGAGCCTGTACTCTTAAATGCTGTGCTGCCTTGGGTAACTGGGGAGATACAGAGTTGAGAATGGAGGAAAAGGATCGAGGAGTATAGAGGAGATTAAAGGGAAATATAAGTTTAGTTCTGGACACATTAATTTCTAGATTCCTGCGGGAAATTTTGGTAGATAAACTAAATGGCAGGATTCTGTCTCTATAGCTTTAGTACCTCAAGCAGGGGTAAGTGCTTAATTAAATTTATGTTAAAATCACCCCTCTTTTTTCAATCTTTGATGGCTTTCTTACTGCCTTGAGATTAAAGACTTATATTTAAGACTTTTTGTAAGTTGGACCCAGTCAAATTTTCCCGCCAGTATTCTCTTGTACAAACTGACTGCTATAATTCAACTAGCTTTGTTTATGCTTTCCCCAAACTTTATATTTTTCTGTCTTTGGTTCATATGGCCTCTTTTCTTACTCTTTCATCCTGTCCTCAAGGCCTACTTCAGTCCCCGTTCCTCATTTATAAAATAGGCATATTTGGACCTACTTTTAGCGTTGTAGCAAGGTTTAAGTGAGTGAATACTGTGTAAAGTGCTCTCAGTAGTATATGGCATAGAATTATGAGCTCAGTAAATGTAGTTGTTAATACTGCTACTACTACTGCTATTATTGCATTCTTCTTCTCGTCATTTTGCCCTGCTGTATGTAATATAAACACCAAGTTTTAGTAATTCTGTAACCTATATAATCTCTTTAATATAGCTTTTTTTTCATTCTAACTATCTTCGTTTAGGACCCCATTTCTTACAGTTGCCCTCAAATTGGTCTCATTGCCACCGTTCAGTCTATCCTGTAGTCTTCTACCAGAGTGATATTTATATAAAAGTGAGTGTGATCATGTTATCCCCTGCTTTAAATCTTACAATAATTCTTACTACTTTCAGGGTAAAGGTTGGAGTCTTTAGCTGTTACCCTTTTCCATCTGGCCCACTGCTTGCCTTTCTGGTTTTATCATTGTTCATGTATGGTATATTCCCGTTGTCCTATCCAGCCATTTTGCATCCTTTCCTACTTACACAGGTGCCACATTCTCTTGCTCTTCCTTCCTTTTGATCTTATGAGTCCCTCTGCCTGGAACAGATTGTTCTATCTGGCTAATCTTTAGTCTTTTTTTTTTTTTAATGCTGCTGGAAGAGAGTATCCTTATGTTGTGAGATTTGCTGTGTCTCTTTATCACAGACTAAATTTTAGAGCCCATCATCTATGCATCATCTATGAATTTATGACATTTCTAAGTTTAGTTGAACAGATACCTGATGGACATTTTCTATATGACATGTATTGTGTTAAGCCCAAGGAATTTATAAAAATAAGACATGAATGACCCATTTGTAACAAATTGAAAATCTAGTGAGAAATTGACTGGGAAGAATAATCATTCATTTTCTTTGCTGTCTCTCCGATGGACTATGAACACTAAGGGAAATGACCAAAAGGAAGATTTAAGTGGATTGTTATCAGGTTGCAGAAACTTTTCTGAGAGTAAAAGACTAGATCCAGGTAGACAAGCATGATCATAGTCCAAGCATTAGAACTTTGACTGAAATTACCTGGCCTAATTTCTCTTGCATAGTTATGATTTCATATAGTGAATATGGATACAGTCTTATAAACCTTAGTTTTTAAGCTAAGTTTTAATTTTAAATAATTTTTGTAGATAAGCATATGTATAAGTAAAATATTCTATTGTTTGATTTTTAATATCCTGTAAATGTTGTAAATAGAGAAAGTTGAAAGTTTTAATTTTCTGAAAGTATATATACTCCTAAATTTTTTAAAGTTAAATACAGCAATACAGTGACTCCTACATAAATTTGTTTACTTGTAATGAAAATATTGATTAAGTTAAATTTGTATTTGTATATGGTCAATATTACAGGGCTTCTCTAGTGGCTCAGCCATAAAGAATCCACCTGCTAATTCAGGAGACACGGGTTCAGTCCCTGGATCCAGAAGATCCCCTGGAGAAGGAAATGGCAACCCACTCCAGGATTCTTGCCTGGAAAATCCCATGGACAGAGGAGCTTGGTGGACTACAGTCAATGGGATGCAAGAGTTGAACACGACTTAGTGACTGAATAACAACAATAATCAATATTACAAAACTTAAGAATTATCTAACATTCTGATAGCTCTCATTTTTAATGAAAAAGAAGGCAAGTTAATGATAAATAAGGTATTTATATGTAGATCACATAAATAGAGAAATTAAAATTTGGATGGAAGACAGAAAAATCTACCAGAATTCTTGTGAAGATGTAATTTTTGTGGTTCATGTAGCTTGCACCTATTAAATATTTTCCTGATTGTTGGTCTAGTGGTTTTCCTAGTAGTCTAGGTGGGTTTGTATTAAACCATCTGTGACAAGTGGTTTGCTTGAAAGGAGATTGGCTGGCATTAGGAAGATTGTCTGAAAACTCAGCTTTTGCTTTGTTGGCATGTTCTCTAACCTATTAACTGAAGTGCAGCTCAACTCAAGGAGGTTATTATTGTAAATATTTTTGAAAGTCTTGAGCAGGAGAGGACTAATTAGACTTAGTTATGTGGGTTTACACTTATATAAACAGTCTGCCTATTTATGCCCAAGAAATGGCTTGATGAAAAGCCACTGTCATCCAGTAAAATATTTTTCTTGTCTAAAATATGTTGGATTTTTAAAATAAATAGAATCATATTAACACTAAGAATTACTAAAAGTATAAATATTTTTTAGTTCTAAAACTTGTATACATTATTTCATTTGAAACTCAGAACAGTTCTGTGAATAAATTTTCCAAAGGAATCTGAAGTTCAGAGAAACTAGTCTTAAATCATAAAACTAGAGGAAGTAGCAGATCCAGAATTAAAATACAGTTTTCTGGTCTCCAAGTCCAATATATTCTTATTTGCTGTACAGTATGACTTAAAAACATTTTTGAGTGGTAGCAGATAATACCATTTTCTCTAAGTGAATACTCATAAAGAGTTAACCCTAATTCTTTTTTTAGTGTAAGCAGTTATAAAGACTGATAACCAACATAGTCGTTCTCTCACTTTAATCTTGTAGATGTGGTTTTATCTTACAGAGGTGGTTTTTTCTTGTAGATGCCTCAGTTGCTAGTTAAAATTTCTTTTTCATAAACTCTTAAAAAGTGAATTGTCCCCTACAATGCTGCCTTATCTCAAGTGAGTTGACAACATAACTTGCTGTATGCCAGGTTCTTTAGCAGTTAACTAGGAAGGAATTTCTGGAGAAGGAAATGGTAACCCACTCCAGTATTCCTGCCTGGAGAATCCTGTGGACAGGGGAGCCTGGTGGGCTGCTGTCCGTGGGGTCACATAGAGTCAGACATGACTGAAGCAACTTAGCATGCATGCATGCATTGGGGAAGGAAATGGCAGCCTACTCCAGTGTTCTTGCCTGGAGAATCCCAGGAACGGGAGCCTGGTGGGCTGCCATCTGTGGGGTCACACAGAGTCGGACACGACTGAAGCGACTTAGCAGCAGCAGCAGGAAGGGATTTCAGACTCATGTATCTTAATTGACTGTAGAATATTGTGTTAAGGTAACTATAAAGGTAGATTAAAGTACCTTTATACCTTAAATATTTTATTCTCTACTAAACTAGTATCCAGAACTTTCCTATTTTTTTGCTTTGCCAAACTTTCTAATATTTCATTTTCCTCAGCTGTAAAATTAAGCAATATGCTTCAAATACTTGAGACAGCTTTTTTCTTGAAACATCCTGATTTCCTCAGTTCTGTAAAATGAAAGGAAAATATTTAATTTATATGGCAAAATAATATATATTTTTGAAATATTCTCTATATTGTGTAGCAATAGAGATTGGAAGTAGACAATGTAAATTCTACTTTTATATTGTAATTCTTATACTTTTTTTCCCCCCCATCTTTCCCCTTAGATTTCCTTCATGGATACATTTTCATAGCATTATTATGTGATGTGAGAAGTTTTTTTTTTTGTTTTGTTTTTTTTTTTTTTTGAAGTAACATGGATTTTATACTACAGAATCAAGAGATTGGCTTTATAGGAAAAATTGATTTATAAAGAGTGGTACAGGTTTTTATAGATAACCATGACAACATCCCATATGAATGGGCATGTTACTGAGGAATCAGACAACGGAGTAAAAAATGTTGATCTTGCATCACCAGAGGAACATCAGAAGCACCGAGAGATGGCTGTTGACTGCCCTGGAGATTTGGGCACCAGGATGATGCCGGTGCGTCGAAGTGCACAGCTGGAACGTATTCGGCAACAACAGGAGGACATGAGGCGTAGGCGAGAGGAAGAAGGGAAAAAACAAGAACTTGACCTTAATTCTTCCATGAGACTTAAGAAACTAGCCCAGATTCCTCCAAAAACCGGAATAGATAACCCTATATTTGATACAGAGGAAGGAATTGTCTTAGAAAGTCCTCATTATGCTGTGAAAATATTAGGTAAGTAAAAACAGTAGAATTAGAAAATGTTTTGCTGTTGTTTATCTTGCCTTAACATAAAGGTGTATAGGAGGGAAGAGTGAGATAAAGAATGTAAGGAATAACAATTTGAATTCATACCAGGATCAGTTTTTTTCTTAGATAGGGCATAAAACTTATTTTCTGTTAGCTATGTAGAACTGGAGCATGTATCCTAAATGTTCAGGATATATGCTATAACATGATTTTTATATTTAATCTTTGAAGTAAAAATTCCTATAGAAGGCCTGACCTTTAAAGCCTTGAAATTCACATTTCATTTCAAACTCAAATTTTATATAAAAATTACTGAAAAGAAATTTTCAGATTTTGAATTTCTGATTTCTTTAAGGTTTATGAAATAATAGTTATTAATGAGAAAAACTTGGTGTTATTTCTGTAGCATAATACACATAAAACATGGGTTTAAAGTCCCTATACTAACTATCCCTAAATTTCATTTTGTGAGGAAAACCAAAAAACTACTGCTATGATGTATTAATTGGCTTCTCAGGTGGTGCTAGTGGTAAAGAACCTGGGCCTGCCAGGGCAAGAGACATAAGAAATACAGGTTCGATGCCTGGGTCCAGAAGATGCCCTGGAGGAGGGCATGGCAACCCACTCCAGTATTCTCATCTGGGGAATCCCATGGACAGAGGAGCCTGGCAGGCTGTCGTCTATAGAGTTGCACAGAGTTGGGCACAATTGAAGCAACTTAGCATGCACGCACATGATGTATTGTAGATATAAAAGAATTCTGTGACCAAACTTTGAGAACAGGGGTTAAATAAGTTAGACAGCTTCTTGTTACAGTACTTCTTGTAGCCTTTAGAATGCCAATAGGCATTGTGAATCTATAAGAGAGATCGATGTCAAATGGGTGTTTCCAAACTTAAGTATTTTATCATTGAACTTACAGCTCTCTCTTCCTCTACACACAAAAGAGAGCTCTCTGAACTAGTGTCAGTGGTGTACATTAACTTGTGTTCCTTTACAACCAGGCTAACTCAAAGGAAATATTTCTATTTCTTAATGATTTATAATTATAGATGTGAAAAGACAGATACTTCACTTTGGAAGGAGAGGGTTTTCATTGTTGTTTTGCCATTTATTTAAGTGTTTATTGAATCCTTTACTTGATGCTCTAGCAAAGGCCTTTCTGTGTAACTTCTACAATAGCTATGTAAACAGGGCTGTGTAATACCTATTTTGGAGAAAAAGAAATTGAACCTCAGTTAAATCACTTGTGTAAGACTCCATGTTAAGTAGTAGGGCCAAGTTTTAATTTGCCTAATGTGGATATGCAGTTGGTATACTGCAAAGAGCAAAGGGTTTGAGTGGAAACTGACATCCAGCCTGTTCTTCACTCACTGGATCAGAGCTTTGGCTACCAAGAGTGCAACATCTTTTTCTTACTTACTCAGAGTTACCATTTATATAAATGTACCATATGCTATCTATCTATCTATAAAAGTACCTTATTTACTATCTGTGTATATAAAAGTACCATATGTACTGTATATTTATATATATGTTTACCATATATACTAATTGCAGTCTAGAACAATTTCTCCTACATCATGACAACTACTTTTTCTTTGCTATACTTTTACAAAGGATTCATATTTCTTGATAGAAAGCATTGTGAGTGCTTTTCTGTGGTTTAAGAAATCATAGATATGTTCAGTCATAATGAAGTGTGCAAAAAATGCCTAAATGGTAGTAATGAAAAACATTATAGTAAAAACAGAAAGATTACATATTTTAAAAATGCATTTATATGAAGGAATTTTATGCTGTTTTTTCTTAAGAGTTTTGTTAGAGTAAAAATATTTCATTGCCTTTTATTGGCATCTTCTCATACCACTTCGTTATTTTTTATTAAAATACTCTCTAAATATTCTCTATGACTTGGAGAAAACTTACATTGTAATATATCCAACCCAAGCCTTGTTTGAGTCTTCTGGGTTTCTATTTAAATTTCTTTGAGATTATTTGTCCATTTACTTTAAATTAGGCATAAATGTCCATGTAGTAGACAAGACTCATGTAATCTCCATGAAGAAACAGAATTCATTTGTGGAATTTTTATTTATTTTCTTGCCTGACCACAGGAAATTGAAGACCTGTTGCTTGGTTTGTTTTTCTACAAGTGTAGTTAAAGGACAACTATATTTTCTTCTGACTTGCAACCCACTGTGGTTTTAAAAATTATCTTTGTGTAATCCTTTAATTTAAGGCTGTTTTGCATAATTTATTTTAAAGTAATTTGGAATTTAGTACCAGCTGTCTGTAAGTAATTTCTTGGATAAGGAGAATGTTTCATGATAGGAGAAGGCAATGGCACCTCACTCCAGTACTCTTGCCTGGAAAAATCCCATGGGTGGAGGAGCCTGGTAGGCTGCAATCCATAGGGTCGCTAAGAGTCGGACACGACTGAGAGACTTCACTTTTTTTTCACTTTTCGTGTTTTGAGAAATGAGTGACAGATTTAATTTTAATGCACTCAACACAAACGTGTTTGTAGGAAGCATGAAAAGTTACCGTAAGTTATAAAGTTGTTTTTGTCAGTCAAATCTTCAGTTTTTGGATGTACTCAGTTTAAGTTTTCACTTTAAAATGAAGTATAATAGCTTTGTACCAGACATTTTTTTCCTGTTTGTAATTTGCTAACACATCAAACTGCAGCAGTACTCCCTGAAGTTGTGTGAGTCTCCCTGCCCGTGTTTAGATTAACTCGCACACGCCAGGAGACAGCTTCTCAGCTTTTCTCACAACCAGAAACAGCGGCCTTGTTTTAAATGAGGCAGGGATGGGGCGACTGATGTATTTCTCTGAAAGGGAGCCTTCAGTTTCCAAATGATACATCGTCATTTATCTGTGAGTAGAAGAAATTCTTCTTAAAGAATTGAAAATGTGATTGAAATGATTAGATACTTTAATTGTCTGCGTGGTGATTTTTAAAAAGTATTTATAAATTTGGCAGTGTATAATATTAAATGTGCAGGGATGGATTGATAGAAAATATTCGGAAAGGATGAACTGAATTTTCTTGTGTAGAAGCTGTTAGAATCTTATTGAAAATTAGAAAATGGTGATGTGGAAAGTTTAAATGAATAATATTACTAGCATGAATTATAAGAATTTTGATACATTGAGCCTTCCTTAAAATTGGCATGAGTTGTTAAAACTTCCTATGAATGAAATGTCATTGTCTTGTTCTCTTTCATAAGTAAAGATACAAACTACCTTGTGAGAAAAGCCCCGAGAAAAAAGCAGAGTGTAGGTTAGAGTAGAATGAGGGAGAACAGGGTCATCCTCAGATGTCTTTGTAGCTTTCACTGTTGCATTGATTCTTTGTAACCACAGATAACTGATTTTGGGTCAGAACTGTTGACAAGTAAATACAGTAGACAGACCGTGTAAAGGGAATAACTAGGAGACATCGCTGTCTGTCATAGACATGACTCCACTTATCACATTTGTGAAGAGATCTTAGGAGATGCACGCACACCCACTCAACACACACCCACAGCCAGCTGTAGGTTTTGTGGCTGATGAGAAGAGTCTTGAGATTTGTGATTAAGGGCTTATTCTAGTTTTCACCAGATGCTGTTAGTGATAAGAAAAAATTAAAAAAAAACCACACACACACTGAGGGGAAGAAAACTAGGATAAATAAAATATTTTTATGATATTAATAATACTGTATTTCAGTCTTTATTAGTACCTACATATTTTTGCCAGGTGTCTGCATGTTCAAACTATTCATACTAAGTCAATAGTATTCTTGTATTTGATGTTATAAAGTAAAATATTTCTTCACATTTCTCTCTGATGTTATTTGACTTTTGGTTGATCATGGGATATACTAGAATTGTGCTGGATTGTGATAAACTTTTTTTTGATTGGCTTTTAAAATAAAGTTTATTTAAAAGTTTAAAGTCAACAAAAAAAATTCCCGTGCCAATAGACTTTGAGTTCGTACTATTTCTGAGACGTTAATTATTCTTGCTATTAAATTTTTGCTCAACTTATATATTTCCAGTCTTTATTAGCCATCCTTTGAGGGTCTTTTTTTCTGAAAGCGAAATGATTAAACCTATTGGTATTAACCTTAATATTTAGACTGTTGGGACTGTTTGATGATTTTTTTGATTTGTTCATATTGCTAAGATTAGAGCTAACCTAAAATAAACATTAAAAAGTTCATTAAAATATGTGTATAGTCATACAATGGTTATTAAATATGCATAATCCTGTGGAAAAGAATTAACTGCTCTACCATTTGGTCTTTGACACGATGTGTCAAAACTTCATCCCACCTGTTAATACAAGTACTAATAGGTTTTAACTTTTTCACCCTAGCAAAGACTTGCATGAGTGTATGTTCAGAAATGTGCGACATCATTGCATATTCAAAGTGCAGGGATACCTGGAGTCAAATGTAGAGTTTAAATACTTTTTACCGTCAGTTGCTATTGATCTTTGACAAGTTACTTCAGTTTCCTGGGTCTCAGTTTCTGTATTTTCTTGAGGACCAAGTGAAAAGAAAGCATGTATATAAAAGCACATTGTACATTGTAAGTTTGATTAAAATTTAACTTAGAAGAAGTAGAAGCCACCCGAGATCATCTGACTTTTTTGTCCAAGAATTCAGCTTGTGAATTTTAACCAGTAATTTTTTATTTCATTTTTTAAATAACAACTTTATTAAGATTTAAAGCATAATACCATAAAATTCTCTCTTTTAAGTGTACAATTCATGAGTTTTTAGTATATGCACAAGACTTTGCAGGCATCACCATTATACAGAGTGTTTTTATTACCTCAGATAGAAACTCTGGGCCCATTAGCATTTACTTCTATTCTCTTCTCCCCCTAACTCCTGACTACCCTAATCTACTTTCTGTGTATTTGTTTATTTGGAATATTTCATCTAACTGAATCATGCAGTATGTGGCTTTTGTGACTGGTTTCTT